ACCTAGCGGTATTTTACATGGGCGCTTGGATATTTGGCCATAGGGGTGGCCGCTCAAGTGTATCTTGATTTTTGTATGTGACTCTTATCCGTATTTAATATCCGGAGGCAGTTGGGACCTTTAACCTCCCACTCCAGTGATAAAACGCATGCAATTGGTATTTAACGTATCTGAAATTTGGGTTTAACTACATTAATTGCACGTTAAATAATAAAACCTCCACTCTTCAATTTGGCCAGTTGGAAGTTTTTAGATGAAGTGCACCATACAAGCCCATGGAAAACCACCGTCAAGTTAGCAAACACTTCTCTGTGTGAGATTTCGTTTTGGTTGGATCGGTGCTGCAACTACCATCTAAGCTCGCGTTGAATTGGTGGGGACCCTAATCAAGTTGTCAGGGTTGTCACCAATCATGTAAATGGAGACACATCAGCTGGTGACATGACGAATCATGTAAATGGAGATCACATCAGCTGGTGACATCTCAACGCACCCTATGAGCTACCGTGAAGGCGGGTGGGGCGTTACGGAAGACCTGGCTGTGCAGATCACCTTCGGCGACGGTGGGTTCCATGTTGAATATCTCGAGTGTGTTCGAATTTCCCAAGCCCGGTACGAAGTCCTCGTAAAGTGGCTTGGCCTAGAAGATGAAAAAACGTCATGGGAGCCGGCGGGGTCATTGTGGGAAGTCCTACCTGTTTTTGTTCCACCGGTGGATCGAAAAGAAAAAGGTCTCCATGGATCATGTCGCCTCCATGGTGGTGACGCTTAGTCTCCCATTGTACTGTAAGGGGAAGTGTTCTGCTGAGCAGAGCTATATCCGTTTTCGCAATGGATCAATTCATTACTTTGGTCAAGGCTAGTACTTTTGTGAACGGTAGTCATTTGCCTCTGGCTAAAACGAAGTGAATATCAGTGTTGAATTTGCCTTGCGTCTGACAGAGGTTTCCTGGAAATCGTTCTAAGAAAGGCGAGTTGCTGAACATTAGGGGGTTTCAACGTTGGAAATGAAGAATGAACAATGGAATTACACACTGTTCAGATGGGTTCTCAAAGTTCCGATGGACTATTCTGATATTGGATTATTTTTGAGCGCTATACACTTCCCATTCTTGATTGTCTATGCTGCATTTTTAACTTTGAAATCCCCTATTGTAAAATACTAATAGTACTTGCTGGTTGATATAATGGCAAACGGGTGCGTAACATGTGAATAATTTACAAAAGGTACTCTCTCTTCGGAAATTACCGAGAGGAAAATATAAATAATATAATTTAGAAATATAATTTTATAAATAAAAATGGTTTTTTGATAGTTATTGATACTTGTTTTGGGTATATTTCCTTGTATAATAAATGTTTTGACAAACAATACTTGTTTTTAATATAATCCATTTTTTTTTGCGAAGCTTTTATTTTCTTTTACAAGAAGTCGTGGCCATAAAGCTCAAAACATTAAATTTCGATATATATCTGAAATGTAGTCCAATCATGCTCAATTTCGATATATATCTGAAATGTAGTCCAATCATATCAATCATACGCCAAAAAAAATGGTGGCGTTTTACATGTTAAGTCTTGTATTCTTTCGTGGTGCTATCTGCATTAAAATAATCGTTCTCGCTCTGGGATTTGAAGTCATGGCCAAAATTCGACCATGGATTACCCTTGATATTAAATATATTTCCATCACTTCATTTATTACTTACTGTTGAGAGGTTCAGTTTTGGACGATGCACATTTTAGGTTTCTTCCAATTTTAAACTTCAAGTATTACACAGTCCCGTGATTCAGTCCGATTTTCCCGGTTAGTCCCGGAGTACGCCTACATAAGTGCAATAGACACGAGTAGGACAATGACAATCCAACCACATGGTTGACTTTTCCCCAAACTCAGCATACGACAACAAGCTTTGTGGCATGTATGTACCACTCACCGCACGATATACACGTCAAGTTAGCTCAGACATGAGTGTAAACGAACTACCTACTCGAGCTCCTTCTCCTTGTTCTTGTGCTTGCGCCCTTTAATCTGCGCCATGCGCTTCTCCTTATTCACGTACCATTTCTTCTTGAACTCCAACCGGTAGTGGTACGCTGCCGCCTTGCCTTGTCCTTGGGTACGGTAAGTGTTACTTACTATTCATACGGTATTGGTCCACGACCACATGTTGTAACTACTTCAAGTAACTATTTTGACACCGGCCCGGTGCGAAAAGCGTCCCCATCTATTATTGAGCAGGGCTGAATAATCCCCTCAACTTTTTGCAAGCCGAACATCAAACGCTCACTTTTCAATTCGACTTGTAGCCGCAATGTTCTGGAAGAATCCGTCCGCACTGACCCAAGTGCTGATCGTGGCCATGGTGTGCTTCACGTGCCCTGGTCTGTTCAATGCACTGAACAGTATTGCCGCCGGTGTGGCTGACGAAACCATCAATTATAACGCGACGGCGTTGCTGTACGCTTGCTTTGCGCTGTTCGGTCTGTTTGCCGGCGGTGCTGTGAACGTGATCGGGCCCAAGTACACGCTGTTCATCGGCACGTTTGGTTACATCATGTACTCTGCGTCTTTGCTGGT